TACTGAAGAAAAATAGTTATTTAAAATGTCTGCCTTTTCCTGATCTTCATTAACAAACAGACCCATCTCTGTTTTCAGTGTACCTACACTTTCATTTTTTGTTTTTTTAGAATTGATGTATTTGAAAAAAGTTGGGGTTGGTTTTGCATTCTTTGGCTATCAATGTCATTTTAAACTACATATTTGGTAGGGGTATAAGGGTAAATATATTTAATATATATTATAAAGATATAAATATAGATTTTTTTTTTACTGCTCCTATTTTTTCTTCTCTACTGGTAATTTCTCACATGATCTTTGAATAAAATCATTATTTAGTGACTGCCCCCTAGATATCAATCATCTTTTTTTCCCATCAATCATTTCTTTTTTTGGTACCACAGACAGAAATGCAAATCACGATGCAAAACAAACATGTTCATCCAATGCACAAGTCATTTGTTTTGTGATTAGTCTATACCAGGCATAGGCAACCTGCGGCACTGCAGATGGTTTGGACTACACCTCCCATGATGCTTTGCCAGCATTATGGGTGTAGGAGCATTATGGGGGATGTGGTCCACAACATCTGGAGTGCCAAAGGTTGCCTACCCCTGGTCTATATTGTAGTTATGAAAACGGGAATTCAGACGATTTCTTTTTCAGTGCTGTAAATGCCTGTGGAAAGCTGCTCCAAATCAGACCTCTTTCTAAACTGTTAAGGAAGGACACCAAGATAACACATCACCAGGACAAGAATGTATCCCTTGTGACAGCTTGGGCATAGTGTCGGGTCACAAGTGATACATTCTTGTCCCGGTGATGGTTTAAAGATGCTGCTGAAGAATGAGGAAAGCCAGAAATTACTCCATCAAAGTGTGTTTTCTTAAACCCGACTACATCTCCTGTACCCAAACAGCCTAGATGGAGAGGTCATGAAGTCTTCCAAATCCATCATTCACATCAAGAAGGCTAAAGGGAAGTGGTATTGACAACAGGCAGATGATACATCTGGGAACATGATAGCATTGGAATACGGAACAGACACAGAAGGACACCACAATTTTTTTATTATTATTATTACTATCATGATTATTACTGGTATTTATAAAGCGCCAAAAGATTCCGCAGCTCTGTACAATTAGTGGAGGATATAAAATATACACAGACAAATACAAAAGGTAGAGTGGGCCCTCCCCGTAAGCTGAGATTTAGCCATTAAAGCTCTTTTATACAAAGTGCTTAGCTAGATAGCCTGGAAGCTTACACTCTAAAAAATACAGTGGGGATTTGAGACAAGAGGTAGCAAGGGAAATTTGGAAGTGATGGCTAAAAAAGTAAACAGAGAGTTGCCACTATTAGTAAAATATAGAGAGAATGACGCGGTAATTGAGTGAGAATTTTAAACGGCCGGAGGAGCATGTTATACATTTAGGAGGAACATGGGTGCATTGAGCCGAGTAGAATTGAGGCTTGTTTGCAGATCGTATGGGGATATCGGCCTTAAAGTTGCAGCGTTCACTTAAAGAGGCTTGTTTGCAGATGGTATGGGGACCCAGGACTTAAAGTTGCAGCGTTCAATTGAAGAGGTTGTGCAACAAAATACAACAAAGACAAACAAACAAAACCTAAATTACACAGATGTTATTGTTTAAATGCAGTTACCTAAGTACAGTGAAGAGTAACTGATACATTCATGTGCAAAAGAAAAAAACATGTGACTCTACAATTTCTTCCATTAATTACAGGTTTACGGTCTAACCTAAATGAGTATGCAAATATTTTATTCTTCTCCTCCATTCAATAATAGGTGCAGTTATGTTCTGTGATTTTTCAAATAGTTTGTTTTCAAACAGTCTTGAAATATTTTGCTTCTCCTTAATTTCTATATGACAATGTTCACCCCGGCATTTACAGGGTAAGTTACGCAGTCTTTGCCGATGCTGCGTTAAAACTCTTTTTTTTTTTTCAACCTCTCCAGAAATATGCTTTATTATTTTAGCACTAAAGAGAATTAATCTAATCAGCCGCCCCACCATAAGCCAACCACGTGTCAAGAGAAATCTAATCAGCTCTGTCCCTGTGCACTTAAAATACTCTTCAATAACTACAATACAAAATGTCAGATTTGCAAAATATAGCAACATTCTCATAAAATTAGACATATTTGTCTTGATGTTTATTTGAGAACATTGCAATTTTCTTTTTCTTTTGTGTGTTTTTTTGGCAACCCGCAGGCCAATTCTTTAATATTCAATGTCATAACTTCGTTGAGATTTCGACAACAGCCGCAATGCTATAAAAGCTGTTCTTATCATTGAAAATTAAAGTCCCTTAAAGCCTTGAAACCAGCAAAATCTCATATGTTTTAAGGCTCCTAAAGCAATTGTTATTTTAGTTTGTTTAGAAGTGTTTGTTATGTTTTTAGTAATGTCACTTCTATTTAGTAGCTGTTTGAAGTCAATGTAATTCCACAATGCATTACATAAAATGACCTTTTTCTTCTTAGTCCGTCTTTTTATACTTTAAAAGGTTCATCTGTTGTGTGTTTTGCTTCTTTTAAAATCTGAACTATATTTCAACCTGAGAAAATATGTGTATATATAAGAAACACTTCCACCACCAGTATTAAAATATGCACTTAGCTTGTAAATATACTCGATGGTGTTCACATATGGGGGAAGAAGTATATTTTCTAATTTTTATTTTAGGTACTATTTGTTGATAGTTGGAGGTCACTCCAAATAAAGAATATATCGAACATAAAACAAGGTTATTAAAGGGATTTGCATGGTATCCTTCCCAGATAGTAAACCTATAATAACAGCTCATACTCAATGCAAAAATTAGGGATGCAGTTGACTTTAATATGGATGTAAATCAAGCACTTCTAGGTGCCTCTGCCAATGATTTGGGTGCAGGAGAATGGAATATGTGGCTCCTAATAGCTCACGCGGACTCCAGGTAGGTATCAACATTAATATTTATTAACAAGGAGATATTACATTTTTTCTAAGAAAAAATAGAATCAAACTTTAGGTCCAACATGTTCTTTTTTAACCTTTGGACTTCCTCTAAGACCATAATTAATATAAAGACAAATAAGCAGATGAACAAGATAATTCATCTGCCTTAGTCCCTGTTTAAGTAGATCTAATCCCTCTCATTGGCTGTTTCCCCCATGGGTGTAGTCTTCCACCCCATCCTAAGTGGTTCCACGGTAAAATCTAACTCCACCACTTGATTAAACTTCTGCTCCTTTACAGCCAGGGTATATCGTCATCCTCCTCACTGCCAACCTGTCACATGCATATTACGTCTTTGTTTGCGTTACAGCCCAGCTCCTGTTGGCGCATGCATTCCATCTTTGTGGTGTCAATCATGTGATCATATTAACAGGATTCAATGTGTACATCTCACTTTGTTTTTTCTTATATATAAACCATCGGTTTAATAGTATGGGTGTAAATAAAACAGGAGAAAAACACAGTTTTGTCCCAATAGAGTATAAACTGAATATATATATTATCACATATATCCTCATAGCAAGATTTAGACATAATTACCATTCCACATATTAGAAATGTATTAAAACCATGCAAATACCTTTAATAACCGTGTTTTATGTTCGCTATATTCTTTATTTGGAGTGACCTCCAACTATTAACAAATAGTACCTAAAATAAAAATTAGAAAATATACTTCTCCCCCCACATTGTGGTATCCAGAGAAACGTCACAATATTGCGGACGAAAGCTATTTCCTATTCTAATTTTTATGGACTTTTAAGCATGTAATATGTAGTTTGTTTAAATATATAAAAAAGCATGGACCCCACACACAACTCAAATGGTAACTTGCAAAAGTGTGACCATCCTTCAATGTGGAAAAGAAACTGTCCTATCAGCTTCTCTCAACTGTGTTTGTGAAGGTAGAAGGCATAGACATACCATATGACACAGCCAGGCAGGAAGAAACCACTGCAATGAAAGGTATTTGAAAGTAAGGGAAGCAGCAGCAGAAGTAATTTCATTTTCATTTTATTTATTAAATTAGGTGCGTAGATAAAGGGATGTCAACTACCAGCACCATTAATTTTTAGAAAAGTTTTTTTTTTTCTACAAGTAGTTAAAAAGACCTACCCGATTGTGAAAGCAGGGTTCACTTGTGCTGTAAATTGCAACCACACAATACGTATATTATTAAGGAAAGACACTTTCAATTTTCAAAGCGTAACTAAACTACAAATCAAATAATCTATCTCTTAGAGAAGAAATAACAAATAAATCACAAATAAGTAGAAACTATTCTAAATCAGTGAATCAAAGTGAGTGTAGATGGCACTGGCAGTAGCAGCTAGGCAAGGTAAACTTTTTTTTTTCCTGATATTTTATTTATTAATTTATTTTTTGTAATTCACCAGATAATGAAGGATGTGACTGCTTCTATCCAACCTGCCTCTGTCGACTACTGGCAAAAGCTGATGGTAGTAGAAACATAGAATGTGACGGCAGATAAGAACCATTTGGCTCATCTAGTCTGCCCAATTTCCTAAATACTTACATTAGTCCCTGACCTTATAGATAAGATAACCAAAAACACACAAAGCTTCGGGATACGGCTGGAAATGAATCTAAAAGGAACACAGAGATATACAAATAGTGAAGTACAGTTTATATATTCAAACATGCGCTGTACATAGATGCACTCACGAAAAGGTGTAGAATATATCACTCGTAGGGTGCCTTCCCCGATAGAAATGGGGGGCCAATGATCCCTTGTTTCTTTATGGAATACCGTAGTAATACTCTGGACTCCAGGTGGGAAATGGTAGGAAAAAACGATGCTTTTATTGATAAAAAGTGAAAAATCACCATCAATATAAAAATATAACATAAGAAACAAACGGTATGGTCCTACGCGTTTCGTTCTATAAAGAACTTCCTCAGGGACCGTGATAATGAATAAAATCAATACATAGAATTACAGCATGTAAAAAAAAAAAGGATGTTTCGTTCTATAAAGAACTTCCTCAGGGACCGTGATAATGAATAAAATCAATACATAGAATTACAGCATGTAAAAAAAGGGATGGTTTTTTACATGCTGTAAATCTATGTATTGATTTTATTCATTATCACGGTCCCTGAGGAAGTTCTTTATAGAACGAAATGCGTAGGACCATACCGTTTGTTTCTTATATTATATTTTTATATTGATGGTGATTTTTCACTTTTTATCAATAAAAGCATTGTTTTTTCCTACCATTTCCCGCCTGGAGTCCAGAGTATTACTACGGTATTCCATAAAGAAACAAGGGATCATTGGCCCCCATTTCTATCGGGGGAGGCACCCTACGAGTGATATATTCTACACCTTTTTGTGAGTGCATCTATGTACAGCGCATGTTTGAATATATAAACTGTACTTCATTATTTGTATATCTCTGTGTTCCTTTTAGATTCATTTCCAGCCGTATCCCAAAGCTTTGTGTGTTTTTGGTTATCTATATATGAAAAGGTCGTCTTCCTTGGGTAACGATCTTGGGAGGCTGTTTTATAATTTTCAAAGTTAAGTATTTATATATGTTACACTACGGTTATTAACCACAGTAGTGTCGATATTGTGCTACTTATAGATAAGATATCTTTATACCTATCCCACACATGCTTAAACTCCCTCACTGTGTTAAAATCTACCACTTCAGCTGGAAGGCTACTCCATGCATCCTCTACCCTCTCAGGAAAGTTCCTCTTTTAAATATAGTCTCCTCCTTTACTGTGTTGGTTCCCTTTATGTATTTAAATGTTTCTATCATATCCCCTCATCTCGTCTTTCCTCCAAGCTATACATGTTAAGATCCTTTAACCTTTCCTTGTATGTTTTATCCTGCAATCCATGAACCATTTTAGTAGCCCTTCTCTGAACTCTCTCTAAAGTATCAATATACTTCTGGAGGTCTCACCAGTGTTCTGTACAATGGCATAAGCACTTCCCTCTTTCTACTGTTAATACCTCTCCCTATGCAACCAAGCATTCTGGAAGCGTAAGCCAAAGCAGCTCCTATTCCTCTGAGTATTTCTAGCCCTGTTCTACCTGGCTATGTCTCCAGCACTACGGGGTTGGATTTTTCCTGTGACCGCTCCTGTCTATCTCAGTACACATGAAGCAGATGCCAAATCAGCCAGGTATAAAACACTGCCTCTCTCCGAGAGAAGTATTAGTTCTTTGACTCTGGTTCCTGTATTTGTGTTCTTGATCCAATGTTCTCCAGATGGCACATTACCTTATTTTATCTCATAGTTTATCCTGACCTCTGGTATCCTCTGACTTTGGCTTATCCTCATTTATCCTGACCTCTGGCATCCTCTAAAATTGGCTTATCCTCAACTATCCTCCTGTTTTTTTCCTTGCCTGTACTGCGACTTGGAGCTACAGGGAGTTCAGAATTATTAGGCAAGTTGTATTTTTGAGGATTAATTTTATTATTGAACAACAACCATGTTCTCAATGAACCCAAAAAACTCATTAATATCAAAGCTGAATATTTTTGGAAGTAGTTTTTAGCTTGTTTTTAGTTTTAGCTATGTTAGGGGGATATCTGTGTGTGCAGGTGACTATTACTGTGCATAATTATTAGGCAACTTAACAAAAACAAATATATACCCATTTCAATTATTTATTATTACCAGTGAAACCAATATAACATCTCAACATTCACAAATATACATTTCTGACATTCAAAAACAAAACAAAAACAAATCAGTGACCAATATAGCCACCTTTCTTTGCAAGGACACTCAAAAGCCTGCCATCCATGGATTCTGTCAGTGTTTTGATCTGTTCACCATCAACATTGTGTGCAGCAGCAACCACAGCCTCCCAGACACTGTTCAGAGAGGTGTACTGTTTTCCCTCCTTGTAAATCTCACATTTGATGATGGACCACAGGTTCTCAATGGGGTTCAGATCAGGTGAACAAGGAGGCCATGTCATTAGATTTTCTTCTTTTATACCCTTTCTTGCCAGCCACGCTGTGGAGTACTTGGACGCGTGTGATGGAGCATTGTCCTGCATGAAAATCATGTTTTTCTTGAAGGATGCAGACTTCTTCCTGTACCACTGCTTGAAGAAGGTGTCTTCCAGGAACTGGCAGTAGGACTGGGAGTTGAGCTTGACTCCATCCTCAACCCGAAAAGGCCCCACAAGCTCATCTTTGATGATACCAGCCCAAACCAGTACTCCACCTCCACCTTGCTGGCGTCTGAGTCGGACTGGAGCTCTCTGCCCTTTACCAATCCAGCCACGGGCCCATCCATCTGGCCCATCAAGACTCACTCTCATTTCATCAGTCCATAAAACCTTAGAAAAATCAGTCTTGAGATATTTCTTGGCCCAGTCTTGACGTTTCAGCTTGTGTGTCTTGTTCAGTGGTGGTCGTCTTTCAGCCTTTCTTACCTTGGCCATGTCTCTGAGTATTGCACACCTTGTGCTTTTGGGCACTCCAGTGATGTTGCAGCTCTGAAATATGGCCAAACTGGTGGCAAGTGGCATCGTGGCAGCTGCACGCTTGACTTTTCTCAGTTCATGGGCAGTTATTTTGCGCCTTGGTTTTTCCACACGCTTCTTGCGACCCTGTTGACTATTTTGAATGAAACGCTTGATTGTTCGATGATCACGCTTCAGAAGCTTTGCAATTTTAAGAGTGCTGCATCCCTCTGCAAGATATCTCACTATTTTTGACTTTTCTGAGCCTGTCAAGTCCTTCTTTTGACCCATTTTGCCAAAGGAAAGGAAGTTGCCTAATAATTATGCACACCTGATATAGGGTGTTGATGTCATTAGACCACACCCCTTCTCATTACAGAGATGCACATCACCTAATATGCTTAATTGGTAGTAGGCTTTCGAGCCTATACAGCTTGGAGTAAGACAACATGCATAAAGAGGATGATGTGGTCAAAATACTCATTTGCCTAATAATTCTGCACTCCCTGTATATCCTGCACAGCCCCTGTGCACAGACTCACAGCCCAGGTGGCTTCTTATCTGGTCACCTTGGTCTGTGCTTATTTGCAAGGGTGAGCGTATAACTCTGCACATCAGACTCCACATCAGGTAAGATCCTGACATAATGAACTGACCATGGAGTCAGCAGAGATATACAAGCTGCTCACTTCCTTTGCTCAGCAAGTGACCAACCTGTTCCAGGCTGTTCAGGAGGTGCAGAAGGATGTATTGAAAAGGAACTGTACACCCAACCCTGGAATCTGCATATCCATAACCCTTTGTAATAATGCCTGACAGGTTTGACGGTTCCCGTTCCTCATTCTCTACGTTCAACGCCACCGCTGTTGTCAAAGTCCGCTCCGCTATTAATCTGCTTTCCAGATGGCTGAAGGAGTAGGCATACCAGAAACTGCAAGAGAAAAGTGCTGTCTTGGATGACTGGGAATCATTTATAACCGCGATGGACTCTCGGTGCCTTGCCCCAAGAAAGCTACTCCCAAGCCTGGTTCCTGCAGATCTAGGGTAGCCAGAGAAAAAGATGACTCCATCCTATTTCAGTACAAGCCCACCGTCAGCGACAGGCCTTATCACCATGAATGTACCCAAGTAAGCCGTGAAACTCCAGTGGACAAGGAAGAACCCATGGAGATCGGATTCATCCACACAGGATTGCCTCCTGAGGAAAGAAACCGTAGGAGAGTCCATGGCCTATGTTTTTATTGTGGAGAAAGAGGACACATCATTTCTCTCTGCCCAATTCATCCACCTAGGCCAAAAGCTCTTCTATTGGGTACCTTATGGACCTATCCTGTAATCCCAGCAACTCAGCCTGGAAACTGCCAAGGTTGCTGCCAGCCCTGCCCACGTTTCATGACACAAAAGGGTACCCAGACTATGGTAAACAACATACCCAGTACTTCTGAGAAGTCTCCAACTTCTGTTCCTGGGACATCTGCACCTCACCATGTAAATACTTCTATTGACACCATCACTACTTCCTGCCAGCCCAAACAAGACCTACTTTCGGATTGTGCCTTTGCTTCTAATGGTACTATAGTCCGAACAAAAAATGTACTACAGTTCGAGAAGGCATTGCAAGCCACGAACTCTGCTCCTGCTGAGGCATGATAAGTACATAACACCTGCATCAAAAACCTTGACTTCTCTCTAGTTATATCAGAAGCTGGTACTATGCAGTCTCACACTGATAAGATGTTAATTACAAGGACCTTCTTGATTCGGACGTTAATTACAAGGACTTTCTTGATTCGGATAGTGAAGCAGATGAAGAGTACTGCCATTATAGAGAGCCTGTTCATGCCTGCAGGGCGGGTCCAGTCATGGTTCTCACCATGACATCCACAGTGCCTGGGTACTTTGCGGTCCTGTGCCTGCTTTACTGCTTTTAAGCCACAGCAGCTACTATTCCTATGAGTATTTCTAGCCCCGTTCTACCTGGCTCTGTCTCCAGCACTAGGTGTTCTTCAGATGGCTCCTGACCTTGGTTTATCTCAGAGTTTATTCTGATCTCTGGCATCCTCTGATTTTGGCTTATCCTCATTTATCCTGACCTCTGGCATCCTCTGAATTTGGTTTATCCTTGACTATCCTCCTGCTTTTGTCCTTGCCTGTACTGCGACTTGGAGCTATAACCTGCATAGCCCCTGTGCACAGACTCACAGCCCAGGTGGCTTCTTATCTGGTCACCTTGGTCTTTGTTTATTTGCAAGGGTGAGTGTATAACTCTGCACATCGGACTTCACATCAGGTTAGATCCTGACATCCTTATATAACCAAGCATTCTGCCAGCATTTCCTGCTGCTCTATTACATTGTCCGCCTACCTTTAAGTCATCAGAAATAATCACTCCTAAATCCATTTCCTCAGATGTTGAAGTTAGGACTCTATCAAATATTCTGTACTCTGCCCCTCGGTTTTTAAGTCCAAGATGCATTATCTTGCACTTATCCACATTAAATGTCGGCTGCCACAACTCTGACCATTTTTCTAGTTTATCTTCATCATTGGCCATTTAGTATCATCAGCAAAAAAAAACATACCTTACCATCAAGACCTTCTGCCACATGACTAATAGAAATATTAAAGGGAATGGGTCCAAGTACAGATCCCTGGGGTACCTCACTGGTAACA